CTCGTCTCATCTTCCCTCCCTCTGCCTATTTTGAATGTGTTAAGCAGCCCTGCCGAGTCCTCTCACTGTGTCTAGCTTCACTTTTAGTTGAGCTGCCTTTCAGGACCCGGCAGCGGATCGCTTGGAGGTGGGGGAGAGCTGTGCGGGGGTCCCTGCAGGGGGTTTCAGCCAGCCCACCCTGACGCCCCGCCGCACAGCTGTTTGCATTCCATTGGTAGATAAGGGCATGCGGCGGCGGCGAGGCTGCCTTTGGTCTAAAAAACGGGGCTGGGGAGGCTAGAGTCAGTTAGCCATTCCTCTTCCGCAAGCTTTCCCCCTGGTGAACCAAACCAGAGGCAACGGTCAGGCACACACAGAGCTCCGAGGTCCTGGGCTCATTCATCAAAAAAAAAAGGAAAAAAAAAAGGACATTGGGGCTTTAAAGGGGCACGCTGCTAAAGCATTTACACATAAGTACAACATAAACTGTTGATATATGATGGAGTCCATGACGTGTGATGATGATGAGGAAGAGGTGATTGTTATTTCCTCCACATGAAAAGCACTCCGATCGGGGATTATATGTGTCTGTTTGGCCTTTTGAGTGCACAGTTCTCACTTAATTGGTGAGCTAATGTGCTCTACAAGCAACTGTCAAAAAAGGAGAAGGCCACGTCAAGAGCACCTTCCATTTCTGTGTTTCTTTACGGCCTTTTGTCGGAGTGCATTCATAGGTTAGGAGTATGTTCCTCCACTCCGCCTCCATTAGCTTTACCTTTCACCCAACTAGTTCGGCCCAGAGGCTACAGTCAGCGCTGTGGCTATCAGAGTAAGGCAAACAGCAGGCTGTCTGCACCCAGCAAGGCTGTGTCACTTGACATGTGTAAATTAGTTTGCGTTGGGATTCTTTCACGCTGTTTTTGCTTAAAAGATTTCCATCTCAAAAGGCAGGAAAAAAAAGACTTACATTGAGTCCAGGCAGAATAAAACACCTGACTGTGCCTGTGTTTTTTTTTAAGGTTGTGACGAGACATGCCGTTCACATACAATTACACACAGGCCCGAGCTTGTCCGTCGCCACACAGGTCATTGACTCGGGCTACATACCGCGCCACCGTTGAAGATTATAATGACTCTTTCATTTCCCTCTGCCCAGCCCCTCTTTCTCTCCCTCCCTTCTTCCAGCCGTCAGATCTGGGGAGTGAAAAAAGAGAGAGAGAGAGAGAAGGAGAGTCAGGGACAGGCAGTGCTGAAAAGGAGAGCACAAAGAGAAGGAAAGTGGAGCAGGGGAGGGGAACAGGAGGCTGGGTGAAGGGAGAGGGAAAGACAAAAGAAGGAGAAGGGAGACATAGCAGGGTGAACGGAGGGGACTGAGCAAATGGCTACGGAGGAGACGGCGGGGGGAGCCAGGAAAGCCACCAAGAGCAAACTGTTTGAGTTCCTGGTCCATGGAGTGGTGAGTGGCGCTGTCCGTCATTCCCGTGAAAGGAGCTGGGCTCTGGCATGCATCTCTGTGTGTGTGTGTGCATGAGTCGGCGCAGCAGCAGCAGCAGCAGCAGCGGCGGTCTGTGTGTGAGAGATAGCTGGGTAAAGCTGGCCATGTGAAGGTTATTTCCAGCCCCCTGGATCCCAGCCTGTTAGGAGATGGCTTGAGAGAACAAGAAGTGGAGCAGCATGGATGGATGGATGGAGCTGAGCAGGAGAAGGATGGGGAGCAGAGGATTTCTAAGACAAAAAATAAGAAAGAAAAGGATAATTGTAGAAATAGAAGCTAAGCAGCAGCAGCAGCAACAAAAAAAAAAAGCAGCCAGCTCCCCCCTTGGCTAACAGAGGAGCACACTGCTTTCCCTGGGAGTCACAGACAGAAGGGGGGGAAATGACGAGTCCACTCACAACAACACAGTCAGAGTAGCCTTCCAGGCAGCATGTTTGGTGGTTGGTGGAAGGATTTGAACCTGTAAGGTCACGAGACAAACGGACGTAGTAGTGTAGACGGAGCCGAGGCATACGGCCAAATCCTGGAAATCATGCAGAACAATCAGTCCATTCATGTGAAGCGAGCATGAAATGTCAAGTCAAGTGTTGCTCACGGTTAGAGGTCAGGCAACTGTTACCCTAAGCCTCATACTTTACATTAATAACAGAACACGGGTGGATGGATGAATTAGAAGGGTGAGGACGGTGTGAAAGTCTTGGTCATTGGCACTTTCCTGTTGAAAGTTTTAGCAGATGTGGCTTTGACATTGACTCGAGTGTGTAAATAAACTGGTAAATTTACGGCAGCCATTCTCGATCTTTTAGGGTTTTTGTTTGCTTATGATCCCTTAATACGACGGGTCTCCTTGTAACAGTTAGTTTAATTATCAGTGAATCTGCCAATTGTATTTTAAATTGCAGTGTCACGAAATTGTGTAAAAACAATTACTCATCACAACTTTACAGAGCTTAAGGTGACATTTTCAGATGTTTAGTTTTGTCTGATTAACAAAACCCAATGATTTCCAGTTGTCCTTTGATAAATAACATACAAAAAACAGCAAATCCTACAACTGGAGAAGCTGGAAACAGAGAATCTGTAACCTTTTTTTAGCAGTTTTTGCCTGAAAACGATTATAAAAATGTCGATTGTCGATAGAGTGAGCAACTTAACGTTTCAACTTGAATATTTTTATTATTAGAGAATCGACAGTAGAGAGACGACAGACTTGAATCAGGGACGTTGCAGTTCATGTTCATCGGCAAGGTGATTTTTAATGGTCTTAGAAGGCGATCATTTAGATTCATCTCGTGATCCTGTATGTGGTTTTAATCCCTACGTTGTAAAGTGTTATTTTGTCATAAATGTTCGTCTCATTCTGGAGATAACTTTGCGGTTTCTACTCTTTCATTAAGTTGAACTGAATTTTACCTTGGTGCAGATCTGAAAGTTGACATCTCTTCCTAATCCTCAAGTACATTTGGAAAGTCAAAAAGACTTTCTGGTATTTATGTGTTCAATCAAAAGAATGATTTTACATTCTCAGATTGGTTCATTTCAGTTAAATGTACATTTTGGGGATATTTTATGTCTCCAGTGGAGAACTGACAGTAGAGAGAGAGATGGCAGGAAATTAAGGGATAGATGGGGACCAGGGATGTTGCGGTTCATGATCGGTGGCCTGGAGAGATAAAAAGTAAACAGTATTACACAACAAAAATGCAGCATTGAGATAAAAGTCCAAAAAAGAAACTGAAGGTTTTTTTTTATATCCTGGAAATCTTCAAATCCATTGAATCTGCAGTTATTTTGATAATCAGTAAGTAATTTTTTCAGCAAAAATGCTCAAAATGTGCTGGTTTTGGCTTTAAAATGAGAATATATGCTGGTTTTCCCAGTTTTCTATGATAATAAAGTGGGTTTGGATGTCAGTCGGTTGGTTGATTAAAACAAACAAACAATTATTCTGTTATTGACACAAATAGACACAAATTACTACAACATAAATGTCTCATCCTGCGTGTGTTCTTTAATTTTTCGGCTGAACTGAATCTCATCTCTGCACGGATACTGAAACTTGGCATTGCTTCCTAATTCTCAAGTACGTAGAGAAGGTCAAAAAAGTTCACGGTATTTTGTTTGTCAAAATCTTTAAACGTCTAAAAAATATCACAGAAACAGAAGTTTTGGATAAGTTCTGAGTTTAGGCCGAAGTCTGTTTTAATCAGCGCCGATGCTGGGCGTGCTGTCACCAGGTAGATTTATACACTGAAACAAGATGAGGTATTGTCTCTTTGACAGGAGCGGTCATTACAGGGGCTTTGGTGCTGAAGCCCTGCGCACAGAGACAGACTTTAGGAAACAATGGACCAGGTGATTGATGAGCCAGATGAGTGTGTCCTCTCAACAGACCAATTAACCTTGATGAGTCTCTGGCTGCTCCAAGCCAAATATTTCCCTCTGCTTATTTTCTCTCATGCCTGCCTCTCTCTCTCTCTCTACCCCCCACCCTTTCTCTCTCTCGCATCTCTTCCCTCTTCCTCCCCCCCACATTTTAAGATGAAAAAGTCTTGTTATAATAGTTGCGGCAGGTTTCTCGCCGTGTATACTGCAGAATGGAGAAATATTTATACTATGGGATATGGGAACGATTCTGCGCAGTTTGTTAGCTTGTGGCGAGGGGATGACGTTTCCTTTTCCTCCTCATGGGCGAGTGAAGTCAAGCAAGCTTTTATACACAAGGACGCATATATGTACAGATGTATTTACACACACAAGAATATATAGAAGTGCGCTATATGCAAACATTGTTGTGGTTACTGAAGGTCAGAGTGTTCCCGCCTCCCAGCAGCAGTGTGTGTGTTGTGGGGGAGAGTGTTTGGCCGAGGTCTGGTTCTAGGACTGATGGGTGGGCTGAAGGCCTGGCTGAGATCTATTCCTCTTTCTCATTATCTGCCTTACCCCCCCCCCCCCAA